AAAGGTAGGCTAGACATTTAATCCCCAAACAAACATACATCATAAATTTTCTTCCAGCTTTTCTTGAGTCTGGAAATAGCGTTGGCATACCGTCATGGGCAAACTAGCACCGGATGTCTTCTTCAGAGCTCTTCAAAAGCGTGGAGTCAGACGGTTCTTTGGCGTCCCCGATTCCCTTTTAAAAGACTTTTGCGCTTTTGTTACGGATAACACTCATCCGCGTGAACACGTTATAACAGCGAACGAAGGTAACGCTGTGGCAATGGCGACAGGTCATCATTTGGCGACGGGGGAATTCCCTCTGGTTTATATGCAGAATAGTGGACTTGGAAACATCATAAATCCCTTGCTCAGTCTTGCCCACGCAGAGGTGTACCGTATTCCATTCTTGTTGGTTGTGGGTTGGCGAGGCGCACCCGGTGTGAAGGATGAGCCGCAGCATGTGGCGCAGGGGCGTCTGAGTGAAAACCTCCTGCGGGCCACGGAGGTGCCGTACTCTGTGCTTTCGGCGGACTGCGACGATGTGGAGGCATCGATGCAGGCTAGCCTCGACGCGGCCATCGCTCACATGCAGGGTGCTGGAACACCCTACGCCCTCTTAATGCATTCCGGCTTGTTTAGCAAGTACCAAATCCAGGGGCAGCGGGAGGAAATCAAGGGGCTCCCCCTCTCTCGTGAGGAGGCAATTGAGCAGGTGGTGCGCCAGCTGGACAGCACGGATGTCGTAGTGAGCACTACAGGCATGCCCTCGCGCGAGGTATTTGAGATACGTGAGCGCACAGGGGCAGGGCATGCCCGCGACTTTCTCACTGTTGGCGGTATGGGTCACTGCTCGTCCATTGCAGCAGGTATCGCATTGGCTAAGACGACGAGGCAAGTGTTTTGCCTCGATGGCGACGGTGCAGCCATCATGCACATGGGCTCGCTAGCTGTTCTTGGAGGAGCAGCGGCCTTTAAACCAATAAACACGAAGGAGCCGCACCTCCTTCAGAACTACAAGCACATTGTATTCAACAACGGAGCCCATGATTCAGTAGGAGGACAACCCACCGCCGCCTTTGATGTCTCTCTCACACAGGTCGCGAAGGCGTGCGGGTTCACTGTTATTCGTGAGGATCCTGTTCTGGATGTCGGTGAGTTGGTCAAGGCTGTGGCGGAGCTGAAGGGCGCCACAGGCCCAGCCTTCTTGGAGGTTCTTGTGCGGAAAGGCAACCGCCCGGATCTTGGTCGTCCAACGACAACCCCGCAGCAAAATAAGGCGGCCTTCATGGATTTCCTACAGCAAAAGTGAGGCGAACCGGATCAAGGGGCACATAATAGATTAGGAGAGAGGATGATGTTTGGCACCGCGGCCGTGCCTTTCTGGTTAATTCCTTTTATTATTATTAGTATTGTTATTCGAATAGTAAGCCAATGCTTGTGTGACTGCGATCACCACATTGTTCTCTTTTTTTATGTTCTTTTTTGTCATTATTATTCAAAAATGGATGTTGCATGGGTTGCGTTGTGTGTAGGGAGAAGCTGGAGTGACAGCGATCACGTGTGTGTGTGGGAGAGAGAGAGGGAGGGGGGGTGGAAGGAAAGAAAGAAAGAATGAGGGCGAGAGAGAAACACTTTATGTTTTCTGTTTTATTCTTCATCATCATCTTCTCCTAACAAAACAATAATCGCCACTGCCTTGTGAGGGGGTGTATGAGGACAGGGAAGGAAGGAAGGAAGGGGTCGTGACAGGCACATCCACGCGATAATCAGACAAACATGCTGCGGCGGACGTTGCCTCTTCCTCGGGTTACGCGCTCGTGGACGAGTTCCTCCATCGCCGCATCGTCGGCTCACTTTCCCGATGCCGTGAGAGCCGATCCTGCCGCGCGACGCGACGCCACGTCCACCGCGAAGGAGGTTCGCTCGTGGACACTTGATGAACTGCCGGTCGGTGTCACCCGCAGGGTGCCAAAGCACGTTGAATGGATGACACGCAAAGTAAAGTTGTGGGCTCAGTTGGTGCGTGCTGACAAGCCTGTGGGTACACTGCTTTTGCTCCTGCCATGCTATTGGGGCAGTAGCCTCGCCGTGACGAAGGCACTTGTGTGGGAAGGAGCAGACCCAGTAGTTCTCTTCGCCCCATTCATCCCAGTGCACCTGGCGGTTCTGTTTGCTGCTGGGGCTTTCCTGATGCGTAGCGCTGGTTGTATTATAAATGACATGTGGGACAGAAAGTTCGATTCTATGGTGGAGCGTACCAAAACCCGGCCGTTAGCGTCCGGGGCGATAAAGATGCCAGAGGCATCGGCTATTCTCATTACAAATCTCAGCCTAGCGCTTGTGATCGCCATGAATCTGTCTCCCGTGGCGCTTTTGGCCGCCGTGTCAATAACACCCTTAGTAGTAATCTATCCATTCATGAAGCGCATCACGTATATGCCTCAGCTGTTCCTGGGGTTGTGCTTCAACTGGGGCATATTTGTTGGCTATGCGGCGGTGTTGAACCGTGTGGATCTTGCTGTTACACTTCCAATCTACTTCGCTTCTGTGGTGTGGACTATTCTATATGACACAATCTATGCATATCAGGACCGAGCCGATGACCTCAAGTGTGGTGTGAAGAGCTCAGCTATCCTGATTGGTGACCGCAAGCACATCCTCATGGCAATGATTTTCCCCGTGGGTCTTGGAGTGCTTGTCTCTGGATTGATGGTATCGCAGTCACTCCCCTTCTATGTTGCCGTATTAGGATGTGTCTGGTACCTGCAAGGCATTGTGGATGATGTCAACATATACGATGGGTGGTCGTGTGCTATGGGGTTCCGTAGAAATGTGCGGTTTGCATTCTTTGTCATTTTGGCAATGTGCCTCGGGAATGTGTTTTGGGCCCTGGCCTCAGAACATCAGCCAGAAAAAGATGCCGCTAATAATGCTGTACCGGAGAAATCAGCCTTGATGAAGTTCCTGCTGCTCAACAATGAGGCAGAGTCAATGGCGTACAACGTGCAGGATGTCCGCTGGGTGGATCGTTTTGCACATCCGGCATATGTGGTGGCTCAGCAGGCGCAGCACGATTCTGCAGAGCAGCCATTGGTGGTGCCTGCGTGGATGCGCCGCGAGTACCTTGGCGAGAACTTGGGCACCGTCATGCGCTTCCTTGGCGTAGAAGAGGAGGTCATTCAAGCGTGGCAGAAGTGGTGGTATGAGCAGCTCGATCACTATAACATGTTCTCCAAGATTGCTATTTGAGCACACCGCTTGGAATCACGTTGAAGTGGCGGTGAGGTGAGGTGTGAAAGAGGGGGTGGGGGAGGTAATGAATTGCTTCTGTGGTTCTGCACCCTCATTATTCGTTCCATTCCCTTCTCGCTCTCACACTCTCCCTACACACCTCGTGTGTGTACGTGAGAGAGGGAGAGAGGAGTGAATGCGCGGCACAGAGAAAGAGCAAATTGCAAAAAAAAAAGCACAGGCGAACAGAGAGGTAGGCACTATTAAGACGTCATATCCCCTCTCGGTGGGGTATATGGAGGTGTGACGACAGAAGAAGGCGGGAAGTCTTTCAAAAAGGTTATGGTGTCTTGTTTATTGGTTGCTTTCATTGTTTTTTCTCTTTTCTTTGTCTCTTTGGCCTCTATTGTGTGTAGTTGCTGGGGGTAGTCCCATCAAGACCTGAGTGTTGTGCAGGATGGCATTGCTCAGGGTGCTAAGCACATTGGATGACGAGCTGGAGGATCGCCCCTGCTTCTTTCCCGCCATCGCCCACCGCCCATCTACTGAGGCCGGGAAGCGAGCGAGTAGTGCGAGCGACACCCTCGCCGTGGATCAGCATAGTCTGCGTTATATTTATACACATAGCTGCAAGGAGCATCAAGTTCGTCCCAATAAGCACATCTTGCAACAGCTGCCACCTGTCGTGGGTAGGGATTGGCCCAGGAAGGTGAAGGCGCTGGACTTCTCCCTCACCTATGTTGGCCGCGACGGGTGCAGTGCACTCGTTCCTGTCGTTGCCTTCTGTTCCGCCATGACACATCTGGTAATGCCTTCAATTGGGCTAACAGAGGAGGCGGCGAGGCCGTTGCTCGCCGCTCTGCAAGTTCATCCCACCGTGACGTGGATAGACCTCTCTGGGAATGATCTGAATGATGATGTTGGACGCTGTATCTTGAACATGGTACTGGCGAACAGCCGTATTCGCTTTGTTTGCCTGAATGAGACGGGCATTAGTCCACCGTTGATACGCAAAATACAACACTACTTGAAACCCAGAGATCGTAGTTTGCTTGAGAGGAAATCCTCTTCTAGCAGTACACTAGATTGGGAGAGACTTTCATTTTCGGTCCAGTCTTCCTTATCAGGAGCTACGAGTGGTCATGATGGAACGCGGGCGCATCGACTCCCAGCATCGGTTGCTGCCGGACTAGCCGAGCTGCGCCATCGATTATACCGCAACCGTCACCGTCTTCAGTATGTATATGATTGTTTCATTCTACCCAAAGGAAATGCAGAAGGAAGTGACGACAGGGACGATGAGGCCCTTGTGGACGTGATGAGGGTAAATGGCGAGTGGGACACGGTCTCTATTTCGGCCATGTACACAGGGCATTGCTCGTGGAGGGCTTTTTTCCGCGGATTGCGCGTCCTTGGCATTCACGCGGTTTCTCGCTCACTCACTGAGAGCGTCGTGTTTGCAACTATATGCGGTATATGCAATTTGGAGACCATTTCCTTTGGGAAACTCTTGAGTTTCCTGCGGCCACATGTCGGATTCACCTTGTCACCCCCTCGCACCAAAGTTGGCTCTGGATCTATCTCAGCATTTTGCTCATCAGCCGCTTGTTCACCTTCGAGATTCTCTTCTGAATGCGGCGTCAGTCCGACCCAGTGTCGACAGGCGGAGGCCACTTCCGGCATCCCTAACGCCGATGCCTCCCTGTGCTCACACTCTTCAGCCAAGTCCATTGGCGAAGGACGCAGCCGGACATCCATTGACCGCTCCGTTCTCACTCCTCTTTTTACGGACAGTCTACCACTTATGTTGAAACCTCAATCAAGTGTATTGATGTGGAGTAAGAGTGGCCGATCGCTTTCTGGATGTTCGTTAACGAGCAATGCTGCAGGAGATTCGGGCATTATGAGTTCTCTGGTAGTGACGAAGACATTGGAGGAGCTGTTTAAACTTGAGTTGTTATTACCCTCCCGCAAACTGCAGTACGCGGTGGATCGACTCTATGATTCACGACGTACTCTTCGAGAGTCGTTTCAACCTGTAGATGAACTTGGCGAGGCGAGGACAAAGCGCATGGCTCGCCTGGACGAAGTGGTGGGGCGAGCAGTCTCCGTTGTGGGGGAGGCCTTCCGGGATAGCGTCACGGCGTTACTGGGGCGCTGGTTGGGGCACACTGGTGTGGATGCCCTGGTGAACGTGGAGGAGTTGCTTGACTCAATGTATATTCCAGAGTCAACGGAATCCCCAGCGGCACCACCGCTCCCCTTGTCAACGGAGAGGCGCATGTGGAGGGGAGTAGAAGTAGAAACGCTTCAAAATGCTCTCAGCGCATGGTGAGCCTTCAGGTCTTTTCTTTTGCCTGCCGCTGTAAGTTTCGCCTCACTGTTTCTCTAATGCTGGTGGTGATGATGATTGAAATGGTGTTTTGTTTTTTTGTCTAGAGATTGTGGATGTTTCTGCTTAGGCTTTGCTTTTTTTTTCTTGCTTGGAACCCTTTGCGCCGCAGCACGTCGCAATGCTGTTTTTTTTTTTAAAAATAAATATTGCAAGCTCTGTATCTCCTATTTCCGCCCACACACTTACTGTAATTATTGGAAACAAGACAGGAACATATATGAATGCTTTGCCCTCTTGTCACTGTTGATATATATATATATATATATATTAAGGCAACACAGCGGGGCGCGCTGCCGGATATGCCTCAGTTGTCGTCAATGAGTGTATAAGAGATATGCTTTGGGTTTTCCCCTTCCTTCCTTCCTTCCTTTCCTACCCCCTCAAAGGTGAGCAATCAAAAGGTGTAGTTAATTTCAAGGAAAAGTAATAATAATATTAAAAAACAAGCCACTCTGTGATGGCCGACTCCCCTATTCCATTCAAGGTTGTCGCCACTGATCTCGATGGGACCTTGCTGAACCCTTGTCATTCTGTGTCGGAGTACACAAGACGTGTGATCAACGCCCTCATCAACAAAGGCGTCCCTGTGGTGTTTGCGACGGGCCGCCACCACGGCGATGTGCTGGAAACAAAGCGGAAGCTTGGGTTAAAAGGATACACGATCACCTCCAATGGGGCCCGCGTGCACGATCCACAGAATCGCGTCATTTTAGAGAAGAATATTGAGTCATCTATTGCAAGAGAGTTGGCCCTACTTGCCATCAATGAGGAGGATATCGTAACGAGTATATACCGCAAGGATTCCTGGCTCGTGAACAAGGATGCTACAGCTCTCGCTGAGTACTTTAAGGCCAATAAGGATGTATTTTGCTATCAGCTCTTTAATCCTGTGGAGGAAAAGGACTACGATGAGGTGTACAAGGTTTACTTTACCTCTGATCGCCGTGCGTCATTGGATGCGCTTTCGGACAAAATTGCTGCGACGTACGGTGATAAGGTGAGTATCACAATGTCACTGCCGAACTGTTTGGAGGTTATGAAAAAGGGAGTCAACAAGGGTGCCGCTCTTCGTGAAGTAGTGTCTAGAATTCTTGGCAACGGGGATGAAAATGCGGGTGGAGTGGCAACGACAGAAGCCGCATCGACCATCAAGCACTGCATCGCATTTGGTGACGGGTTGAACGATGTTGAGATGCTCAACATGGCGGAGAAGGGCTGTTTAATGGAGAATGCGCAGAAGGAACTGCTCAGTGTGGCACCGTCACATTTGGAAATTATTGGAAGGAACTCAGAGGATGGTGTGGCAAAATATTTGGCAAACCTATTCAAACTAAATGTGGATGCATGATGCCCATGTGCGTGGGTGTGAGGGCGAGAGTGTGTGCGTGCAAGAAGTAGCAATGTGATATATAGAAAAAAAAAACGAAGGAAAAGAAACATGGGCATTTTCTACCCTATGCTTTTTCCTTAGATTCGTCTACGGTTGTCTAGTTTTGCCAATATCATTCAAGAAGATAACAACAGCAACAAGAGCCTTGACATTGTATTATGATTCCCCTAACAGGAAGGACAGGAATGAGAACGCAGGCGGTGTTGGGGATGATTGAAAGGAAGGATGGACACTGTTTGATGAGTGGTCTTGTTGGCCATGGTTGTGGTGGCTCGATGTGAAAAGAAA